CAGGGTGGGGAGCGGGCAGCAGCCTCAGATCCACCCCTCCAGCTCTTCCAAGGCATCAGCAAAGGGGCTCTGGGGGTTCAGACACGGGAGCTTCACTGCTTGTGTCCTTCCCAATTGCTTTTCACAACAGGGAATGTAACAGGGTGCCCAGAGAAGCTGTGGCTGCCCCATCCCTGGCAGTGGTCAGGACACAGGGGCTTGGAGCAACCTGCTCTAGTGGAAGGTGTCCCTGCCCGGGGCAGGGGTTGGAGCTGGAGGACCTTTAAGGTCCCTTCAACACAAACCAGGCTGGGATTCTATGATGGGAAATGGGGTGTCCAGCAGTGACCCGCGATGCTCCTGTGCTGTTTCACACATTAGCTACATCTGCAGCTTCAAAGCATCTTTGCTGCATAGAAATGACCATGATTTTCCAGTCCTTAAGCAATCACACCCTTGCACGTGGCCAGGGCAAACCACAAGTAGATTCTTCCCCATCCTTCATCCTCACAACAGCAGGAGATTTGTGAAGCCTCCATCGAGGTTTTTGAGAGCCAGAACATAAGCAGGACAAAGGATGGAGGTTGCAGATGTCGAAGTGACAAAGTTCAATCACAGTTAATCAGAGGACGTTGGGTACCACATGGAGAACAGGAAGATTTTCACCGACCTGTGTGTTTGCTGTGGCTGGAGGGGGATGCAGAGAGAAGGAGGAGAAACTTCTTGAACACGTTGCTCATGTACTGGGGATAGAAAGCAGCTCAGGCTGGCAAAGGAGCGCTCCCTTCTCCTGTCTGGGTGCGTTAATGCTCCTCAAATGGGCCTGTCTGAACGGCATTTAGCAGAGAACCCGCCTGTCTCACCCAGTCACCATGAACTGGTGGCTGACAGGGGGTTAACAGTTGATGGCGGAGGGGATTTTGCATCTCCTGCCTGAGCACAGCAGCTTCTTCTCCCCTGTCAGGGCTGAAGATGCTCCTCTGCTTCCATGACGTGATGTGAAATAGCTTTGACAGTGCTCGTTTAAAGCAGTGCAGCAACATCAAGGTTTGCTGGGCGCTGCGGTCCAAATCCATCCCGCTGGGATGCAGACGTCGCCTCGGGAGGTCGCCGAGCAGCAAGGGATGGATTTGGCCTCCTCAAAGGGCTTGAATGGCAGCGACAGAGGAAATTGCTCAGCTTCAAAGGCTGTTCCCCACCTCCCACGGAGCACAGGCTCTGGGACAGGAATTTGCTGGTGGCATCCGCCCATTCTGTGCAGATTAAGGGGAATTGCTGCAGGTCATGAAAGAGGACCCCATGGGAGGTCCTGGCTACATGTGACCCACCACCAATCCCATCTTCTTGGGGTGCAGAGAGAGTCTTTGCTGCCCACAAGGGTTTCAGTGTCCCCTTGTTTCAATGGGAGTGATCAAGACTCACACCCAGCTGGGGGAACATGGACCTTCCCTAAGCAAGGAGAGGTGGGCACAGAGGGAAGCTCGTCCCTTTGCCCTCCCTGTATCAGTGAGAGGGGACACAGGGGTTGAGTCTCACGGCTAAAGGGTCCTGCAGAGAAGTGGCCAGAGGAGCGGTGGCTGCCCCATCCCTGGCAGTGTTCAAGGGCAGGTTGGACACAGGGGCTTGGAGCAACCTGCTCTAGTGGAAGGTGTCCCTGCCCGGGGCAGGGGTTGGAGCTGGAGGAGCTTTAATGTCCCTTCCAAAACAAACCAGTCTCTGAGTCTATGATTCTACAGGGTTAAGGATGAGGAGAAACTGTGTGGATGAAGGGTCTGAGAAACCTCTAAGAGATGAGCCCTCCTCTGAGCAGAGGATGGACCATATGCTCCCTGCAGCCCCATCCCCTCCAATCTCTGCTCCATCAGGCTTCCTGTCCCTCCCTGAGGAAAGCAGGGAACCTAAAGAGATAACTTGCCCTCATCCCCCAGCCTGTTGCTGCCTACCACAGCAACATTTGGGCAGGAGGCTGAGCCAGAGGCTTTGGGCTTCACTGGAGGCTTCGCTCATCCCAGAGAAGCAGGAGATGGATGTGAGGATGTGAGCTCCTGCAGCAGCGATCGCTCCTGGAGAGCTGGAGTGGAGGAGGTGTGAGAGCTGAATCACGTCGGGATGCTTCACTGCAAACACACCACCGCAGGAGGAAGAGGATTTTTGCTGCTTCTGAACTGTGGGATCTTTAGGAGAGTTTTTGCCTATTTTCTAACCATTTCTTGTTTGAAGACAGGGAACTTGCTATTTTTACCACAAAGGGAGACGATCATAAACTCCCACTGACGCAGACAAAGGGCACATCGGTTGGGTGCTGACACAAAGCTGTGCTCTCACTGCATGATGAGCCTGCTACTTCCCGTGACCAGAAAGCCAGGAACATCATGGGTTGCTCGGCAAGTAGGTGCCTTTTAAGAGACAATAAAGGTGTTCCATGTAAAGTGGAACTGAGTCAGCTGGAGCCCCAGAGTAACTGCACAGAACATCAGTGAGCAGCATCTGCTCCACAGAGAGAAATTACCCATTAAGTGGTGACAACGGGGGGTTGTACGGGTGACAAAACCCTCCGCTGTCACCTTAACCTCAGCACATGCAGGATGTGCTGGAGACAGAATGTATCTGAGTGATTTTCCCTCTGAGGAGCTCTTTGAAGACCAGATCTCCTCAGGTTTATGTATGTGAGTCTCAACGCAGTGGCTGCTGCGATGTCCCCACTAGAACCCACAGGTCCTTTGTGTCGATTTTGCTTCTCCCACCTCACTTACTCAGAGCTCTGTGATGAGATTTCACTCCATGGGATCACGAAGATGCACAGCTACGAGTCAGAAAGAGAACCTGACTTTAAACATAGTTTTATTAAGGCTTAAATGTCTATCAGCCCGACGGAGCTGGTCCAGACACACGACGCAAACCGAGGGTGATGTTTGGTGTGATGTGATGGCTTTTCTACAGGAGTTGCTATGAGCAGGATGAGATCGCTGCCACTTACTCACACGTTGCCCCTGGCCTCTCTTTGTGACTTGCTGGACTCCAGGATGGTTGATGTGCTCCTGCAGCACCCCAGGGAGGAGGGGAGTGAGGCGGGGAAGGGGAGAAGTCAGGTAGATGCATGTGGTCCATCACGAGGACTTCACCTGGTCCACGACCGAATGGCTCCTCATCAGATATGTGGATGGTTTCAACTCACAGGGAAGCTAAACTCACAGTCCAAAAGGCACCTATGCTAAACCACTGAGCCACTGGGATGGCGGTAAGAGGGTGACAGCTGGAAATCAGTTCTGTATAAATACATATTCCTTGTTAAAGAAGCTATGGCTTTTATTATCCTCGGATCGCTTTGCTCCGGCGCGCGCGCGTCCCTCCCCCCCCCCCCCCCACTACTCTGTAAGCACAGGAAGACCAAGTCCTCTCCACCACTATGGGTGCTCCTCTTGGTGAGCTCTCCCAAAGGCCTTCATCGTCCTATATGGATCAACACGGACAACAGGGAGCAGCAGCAGCTCCTTGTTCTCATCCTCCTGGAAGGCTCCAGCAGCCGAGGGGTCAGAAGTGAACCCTCCTGACGTCGTGTGTGGCAGCCGACCTCTTACAGCTCCCACAGAGTATTGAGGATGGAGACTTCTGCTTCTCGGCCAAGCACGGGCGACACATGAGGTGGCCACAGGGAAGCTGGTAAACGGGCTCCGTTTTGAAATAGGAGGAGAAGGTTTTGCCACAGGAAGAGCATCCTTGGGTCTGGCTGCTCCTGCCATGCTCTGCAAAGGGGAGGGGAGAAGTGGGTCAGTCAGGGGGGTGACAAGTCACAGCATCATTAGGGTTGGAAGGGAGCTCTGGAGACCATCCAGTCCAACCCCCTGCCAAGGCAGTGCCACACAGAGCAGGTGACAAAGGGATTGTCCTGGTGGGTTTGAATGTCTCCAGAGAGGGAGACCCCAGAACCCGTTCCAGTGCTCTGACACCCTCAATGGAAAGAAGTTCTTCCTCCTGTTGAGGTGAAACTGCTTGTGTTTTAGTTTATGGCCATTGCTCCTCATCCTGTTGCTGACACAGAGTCAGGCACCATCCTCCTGGCACCCAACCTATGAGACACTGATCTGCATTGATGAGATCCCCTCTCAGGCTGCTCTTCTCCAGGCTAAACACCCCCAGCTCCTGCAGTCTCTCCTCATAAGAGTCATGCTCCAGACCCCTGATCATCCCTGTGGCCTCCACGGGGCCCTCTCTAGTAGCTCTTTGTCTTGTACTGAGGAGCCCAGCGCTGGACACAGCTCTCCAGATGTGGCCTCACCAGGGTCGAGTAGAGGATCACCTCCCTTGACCTGCTGCCACACTCCTCCTGAAGCACCCCAGGATACTCCTGTCCCTCCTGGCTTGAAGGCACACTGCAGCTCATGGTCTACATGTCATCCACCAGTACTCCCAGGTCCTTCTCAGCTGAGCTGCCCCCAACCTGTGCTGGTACTTGGGGTTCTTCCTCCCCTGGAGCAGGACCCTACACTTGCCCTTGTCAAACCTCATTATGTTTCTCTCTGCCCAATTCTCCAGCCTACTGAGGTCCCACTGAAAGGAAGCACTTAAGGTGTAGCAGACATTGCCCCAGCTTTGTATCATCAGCAAACTTGCTGAGGGTACATTCTATCCCTTCATCCAGGTCATTGCTAAACAGGATCAAGTCCATGCTGTGCCACCCCTTAGGTGCCTAATCCTGCCCAGGAGCCACGGACCCCACGTTCTGCAGTACAGCTCATGGCTCAGGTCCGTGGCCTGTTTTATCACTACCATAAGGAAAGGGAACAGTCTACTTCTGGGGCAGGTTGTGCTCAGAAGGGGCTGAATCACAGCAGCACTTGCAACATGAGGCTCTTAATTGAGGACAGATGACTGTAAAGGGCTTTTCACTTCTCCCGAGGCTAAATCGGCGTCTTCCGCTTTCCAACGCTCGGATTAAGATCACCTATTCCCGAGTGAAATGCTTTAGGGATTGCTTTGCATTCCTGGCACACACCATCTATCAAGGGCTACTCAGTCAACTCTTAAACAGCAGCAATTTTAAAGGGGACAGGGAAAAAAGCTTAATAGCTTCGTGTCACTGTGAAACAGCAAAAGCTGTTGAGAGAGAGACAGCACCAGCCCTTTCTCAGGGGCATGTGGTCCCTCTGAACTCTCTTCTCTGGTAGATCCTCACTCAGGGAGAGAAGAGGAGCTAGGTTCGGTTAGGGCATCAGCTTGTGGAGGGATACAGGGAGGTTCAAAGCTTCCCTGTGCCCCAGTGGAATCGTTTTGGGAATGCATACACAGCTGGATTAGCATGTGGGATGGAAACTGTGAGGACTCAACAGCCTGGTCAAAATAGTCAACTCAGTGGGATTCTGGGCACACACTTGGCTGGTTGACCCATGACGTTGCTACCACTACCTGCTCCTGTTAAGGGTCAGCACGCTGCATGGTATGTGCTAGAATTACACCTCTCCAGCTGCATCTCCATACCAGGCTCCTTCCCAATCCACATGGCAACTCCTCAGCTTGCTCTGTGCAGGTAACAGATGACAGTGGGGTTGGACTAGATGATCTTTGAAGGTCTCTTCCAACCCAAACCATTCTATGATTCTATGATTTAAGCCACTCAGCCCAAATCACAGAGCTCTGGGAACAGCCAAACCTTGACATGGGGCAGGCTCTCAGTCTGAACCAACCTGGGGCAGGCTAGGCTTAGCACCACGTCTCAGCACAAGGCATCCAGGACTGTCCTCGGGCAGCACAGACAAGTGACAGTGAGCAAATCACAGGAGTCATGCTGAAGCCTGCCCTGACTGAGGACATGGACACCACACCTTACTTTCTGGGGCCAACAAGGTCTAACCTGCCTCAGTGGGAGAATAAACCATTAAATGTGCCGAGATAAAAAAGCAGGAGCCTTGGGATTGTTAAGTAAAGCTTGCTGGGAGGCAGTATAATGTTTTAAGATTGGGTATTTACATAGTAAATGCTCCATCCCTGGTAGTGTTCAAGGCCAGGTTGGACAAAGCCTTGGTGTTTAGTGTGAGGCATCCCCACCCATGGCAGGGGGTTGGAACTGGATGATCTTAAGGCCTTTCCAACCCAAACCAGTCTGTGATTCTATTTTGGAGTGTGAAGAAGCATAGAAAGATGCTGAGCAGCAGCCTTAAGGCCTTTAACCCAGCCCCAGCTCTCCTCTCTGGCTCCCCAAGGTGAACCAGAGGCACTTGCTGCTTACCAAGGATGGTGCCCACGCCCCAGGAACTGCTGCAGCCCCCCTCGCTCTGTGCCTGCTGCTGGCTCTTCATCAGCTTGGCTGTGAACGAGGGCATGGAGCTGAGTGCCGAGCTCAAGGCAGTGTCCAAACTCTCTGACAGCTTTTGTTCGTGAGAGACCAGATCTGCAAAGAGAAGCACAAGCTCAAGAAGAGGATGGGGAAAAGGATGAGCAACAGGAACACCGCTTTGCCGCTGAACCTCTGGGACAGCACTCCCCTGGAACCAGGCTGAGAGCTGGGCTGGGGCAGCTGGAGAAGAGAAGGCTCCTCAAGGGGACACCTTAGAGCAGCTCCAGGGCCTAAAGGGGCTCCAGGAGACCTGGAGAGGGGCTTTGGACAAGGGATGGAGGGACAGGACAAGGGGAATGGCTTTAACCTGCCAGAGGGGAGATTGAGATGAGCTCTTGGGCAGAAGCTCTTCCCTGTGAGGGTGCTGAGGCGCTGGCACAGGGTGCCCAGAGGAGCTGTGGCTGCCCCATCCCTGGCAGTGTTCAAGGGCAGGTTGGACACAGGGGCTTGGAGCAACCTGCTCTAGTGGAAGGTGTCCCTGCCCGGGGCAGGGGGTTGGGACTGGAGGAGCTTTAAGGTCCCTTCCAACACAAACCAGGCTGGGATTCTGTTATTTAGGAGACCTGCCACTTGGTTTCTTGAGAGTTCTCTTCTCCCTGCTGACGTGCCAGGATGGGGATGTAGTGCCTCTCCTTTGAGTCCTAAAGATGAAAAGTCCTACAGATGACTTTCAGACACCCATGTCATGCCCACGTGCCAACAAACATTCAGGTGCCAGCATAGATCTGCAGGTCTGAATATGGGCAAAACACCAAATAATCCAGAAATTCTCACTGAACCCCCAAGCAGCTGCACTGAGCTGGGAGCCCAGCACTCCCAGCCTTGCTTCCTGCAGCTAACTGGGAACATTGAAGCCACTATCACTATCTGGGGGCACTGATTTTATTCTGCCTCAGTTCTGAGCTAAGGGATGAAGCCAAAGGTGCAGGGTCAGACCCTTCCCTGCAGCGTTTGTCCTGTGCCACACCGAAGGCGTTCATTCAGGCTGTGCATTAAGAGGATGTTGTCTGCATCACTAATCCTGTTAAATCATCTCCCCAAGGAAGGCCTTGGAATTAGTGCTGCACATTTGCAACAGCAATCAGGGCTGATGAAACCCTGGAGCACGGCTCCCCTGGGAGCTCCAGGACCCCACAGGGTATTCCCTGCTCCTATGGGGCTGGGACACATCCCCAACGGGAGCTGTCACACATCTCTGCACGAAGAGTAACTGATGATTCCTCCTAAAACATGGAACGAGCTCTAGAGTGAGAGATCAGAGCAGAAATGGGCAGTCTGGCTTCTTCCCATTCATTCTGGTACCATAAACATCAGTTATTTTCAACCAGGTCTTTAAAGACTTTGTCTAAGGTCAAACTGAGCTTTCTCCTATAAACATTTAGGGGAGAAAGGTGAAAGGAGGGACAGGTTCCAGCAGGACTTAACAGCACTCAGAAGCTGTGGGCCACCTTTTGACATCTTACAGACCTCCAGATTAGAGAACACAAGAAAACTCGACTTACCTGCATTGAGAGACAGCCCCTACATGACAGACATCCCCACAGACACTTGCTCCCTTCAAGCTCATCTAAATACAAGATTGGTAAAGACATCTCTTTCCTACCTTGACTCCCATTTAAGTTTACGTTCCTCCTCCAGAGGAACCAAAGCAGTAACTCAGTTCAAGATACCAGAGAGAAGATTTAAGCATTGCTGTAGTTATATGGATGTAACAGTTCCACTGACAGCAACTCCAAGATGTTTCAGGAATCCCTGTGCCAACAAGGGAGAAAGCAAACATGGCAAAATAGGTGTGGATCTGGGGGGAAAGATCTAGTGTGGAGTAAGAGAAGCAACTGCCTGGAAGCCACACTCTTCACCGTGGGATGAAGGTTCTGCTCATTAAGAGAATAAACCACAAAGAGCAAAGAGATTCTGGGGAGAGAGCTGGGAATCTCCTTGGTATTTACCCCACAGATCCCTTTGGCTTTCTGAAGACTGGCTCCTCCTCACCAGTCCTGCACCTGAATGCTGCTGGACCTACAAGGAGCACCCTACACTCCCAGTGCTCCGTGGATCCACAGGTCTGCCTGTGCTGCCACAACACTGCCTTGCCTGTCTGGTCTGAAGCTGTGGCGTGGCTGGGGAGCCAGGAGGGTGGAAACACTCAGCTTCCCAGGGAATTCATAGGAGGGCTGCAGGTCTGGACTGGTTTTCTGCCTTTTGGATCTTATGCCCAGTGCTGTTGTTACTGTACTACTGAGAAAAACAAGGACAAAAGGAAACCAGGACCCATTTCTTTCCCCTGGGGACACAAGTCACAACCCTGGTCTGATGCCTCTAATGGTTTTCTGCTTTAACTAACTGCAAAGCCTGTGCAAGCCTCTCCCAGGCTCTGCTGCTCCTCGCTGCTCTGAAGGAGCAATTCCCTTGCTGCTGTTTGTTCCAAGCCCCTGCACTGCTGCACTAAGGACACGGTAGGCCAGCACAGCCACATTCTCCCCAAGCTCAGCCTCTCCCACAGCAAGAGCAGCCCCACGAGGAGGGAAGGAGCCAGCATGTCCCTGGGGACACAATTTGTGCAGGGATACTGAGCGTGCAGGGAATCAGCTGCACCAACAGCCCAGGCTGGTAGTGCCTGGCCAGGGAAATCCATGAGCAGGATTAGTGCCTCAGTCCTGCTTTCCTCCCCACCTCACTCCTCAGGAGAAGATCCACACCAGGCAGGACTTCTCATGCACCAAGAGGCACTTCTTTTCCTGCTGTGGATGCCTTCTTGCTGATGCAAGAACACACTGATGGATAAGATAATAAATCACCCATGATAAAGAGACTTTACAACAGCACACTGCGAGAAAAACATCATCTCCACGTGGACAGTGGCTTGAAGGCAAGGAGAAGAAAGGAAATCCAAACTAAAAGGGGAACATAGTGACCTGAGCAAACAAGAGGGCTGTGAAAGAGGCTGCACAGGTAACACAATGAGAACGATGAGCCTAGAGATGAAAGTGAAAGAGAATGGGAGCAAACAGCATCCAGCATGGCAGGTTGTGCTGAGGAGAGTGAATGAGATGATGGCCTGCCTCCCATGACATCTATCAATCAGCAGTAAAATACAACGGCCTTAAAGCTTTGTAGAAGTGGGATGGGAATCTCTAGTGGAGCTTCCTGACTGGCAAACCTGGCCCCAGGCTCTCAAGGAATACAAGCGACTTGGGGAGCCCCGGTACCTGTGGAACAGTCCATGTGGATCAAGTGTGAGTCACTGTCGGGTTTCATTTTTTTAGCACTGTTCTCTGAGGTAGACGTGACAAGTAAGTTTGTAGAGGAAAAATAAGGTGGCTGCACAGAGCTCTGATCCATGCAGTCCATTTTCCTCTTCAGAGAAGACATTGTTATGGAAGAAGGGACGAGCATTTCCGAGGTATGAGCCCTCCCCAGCAGGTTGGTGCCAGGAATGCTGTGCTGTAAGAGGAAATGGTCTATCCTGGCCTTGAGGGTAGGGTGAGGTAGGGGCTGTGAGTGCTGGCTGAAGGCCACCCCAGTGAAAGGATCACTGGGGACCCTGCCCCAGGACGCTTCGCTCCGGTTGCATTTCTCCAGCGTCGTCTGGTCAATCACCTTCCCCGACGGCAGGAGCATGGGGAAGGTCATGATCTCCAGAGTGATGGGGTCCAGGAATTCCTCAGGGATGTCTTGCACGACGTCCACCAGCTTGCGGAGGGTCTGCTGCTCGCTGTCGTTGGCACTGAAGGGCACGCAGTCACTCTCCATCGGTGTCCAGAGCTCTGGCTTGAGGTTACCAACGTCCTGGGTGAAGAACTGAGAGGCCACCTGAAAGACACCCTCGATCACCTCCTGCGGGCAGGATTTGGCAGGCTGTCCCCACACCTCCAGCCTCTTAATGCAAGGCAGGCCGCCTCCAGCAACATGGGTGATGCAGATCTTTAAGTGCGACACGTTGCTCAGTGAGGAGGGCCCTTTGTTCCAGAGGTCTTGAGATGCAGAGCCTGGGTAGGACAAGACATTTTCCATCTGATGGAAGGGAGGCCTCGGCTTGAAGCCTCTATGGCCAAATGTCACTTTGCTTTGATTCTTTAAGACAGCTTTGCCCACCAGTGTGAAAGTGTCTTTGTCTGACACGGGCTGACTGGCCAGACCTGAGAACTGACCCTCAGGGCTCTGCCAAGAGGTCTTATTGCATGAGGTAGAGGTGTAAACTTCGAGCCCAGAGAAGGTTTGGTATCCCCCAGATGAGATGTCAATGTTAATCCTGCAGATCTCAATGTTGAAGGGAAAAGAGATGGTGACGTGGACTGGAGGTTTGATGAAGTACTCGCTGCGGAAGCCACGGTTTCTTCTGGCCAGGTCTTCAGAGATCAGATTCTCCACTTCGTAACCATCAGCAGAAATCTGTGTTTTGGGAGAAAACTGCATTTAATTTGGAGCCAGAAACTAAAACTCATTTCAGAAGCACTGATGGAGAGACTCAGGATGACATCAACTGGGAACCACGGCTGTGGTTTCATGTGCAGCTGAGACAATGCAGGTGAGGGATCCCTGCTGCTGAGGCCAAGCAGATCCACTCCCACCCTCCAACATATGGTCCTATCCATTCTTCCCTGTGTCCCTGTTACCTGACCAGCCATGTGAGAGCTGATTTAACAGCTAAAAGAGAGCAAAACTATGGATGGTTTGTGGTTTTGGATGGACCAGTGAACTACAAGTTCAAGTGGGAGAGTGTGGCTGGGAGCAGAGTGTGTGTTTGGTGAGATGGGTCTCCTGTCCTTCAACAGTGCTGAAACATTACGTCAGCTTATCCTGCCATGTGGAAAGAGACCTCTTGAGAAAACAAGTGGCAGGGCTCCTAAAATCACAGAATCCCAGCCTGGTTTGTGTTGGAAAGGACCTTAAAGCTCATCCAGCTCCAACCCCTGCCACGGGCAGGGACACCTTCCACTAGAGCAGGTTGCTCCAAGCTCTGTCCAACCAGAGAAACCTCTGGAGGTCAGCTAGCCAACTACCTTCTCCAGCTTTAGCATCAACCCTACCTATCCTTAGAGACCCCAGAGCAATCTTCCAACACCTAAAGGGAACCTACAAGGAAGCTGGAGAGGGGCTTTGGACAAGGGATGGAGGGACAGGACAAGGGGAATGGCTTGAACCTGCCAGAGGAGAGACTGAGATGAGCTCTTGGGCAGAAGCTCTTCCCTGTGAGGGTGCTGAGGCGCTGGCACAGGGTGCCCAGAGAAGCTGTGGCTGCCCCATCCCTGGCAGTGCTCAAGGCCAGGTTGGACACAGGGGCTTGGAGCAACCTTGCTGAGAATGACAGGAGACTGGAGAGCTTGGAAGAGAAAGCTCTGAGCAAACCCCCCCAAATCACAACCCTCCCACATCACTGGAAAACAATTTTAACTGACAAAGATGCTCTCAGCTCTTCAGACTAAACCACCTGCACTTTACCTGCAGCTGCCCTCAGTGCTTCTGCTGGCAGTGGACATCCACAGCCTCCCATGTTAAAACCCTCCCTGAGCCAGACAGACCACACAGCAACGATGGGAGTTTGCTGAGAGTTGCTTTGTTTTCTCAGGAAAGTCTGGCACGGGCAGCCAAAAATCAGTCTGCCAGAAACACTGATTATCACAGATGAGCAGCAAACAGGTCCCCTGAGCCCCAACCAGCCCAGCACACCACTGCCACCTGATCTCTCCATCCCTCCAGCTCCCTAAACCCCCTCACATCGCTAGTTTACCTTGTTGCAGTGAATTCTTGGCTTGAACTGTGGGAGACAGACGTTTATTACCATCTTGGCAGCTGGAGCGAGCTCAGTTTGTGAGCATCAGATTCAGCCTGCAAAAAGAAAAGAAAGAAAAAGCAAGTGAACATCAGTGAACATTAGTGAAAGGATCTTGTTTTGGAGCCTGTATGAATGACAAGCTTGGTAGGTCTTAGAATGCAGCTCAGATCTGAGTCCAGGAGGTGAAGCCAATATAAACCCCAATGACTGTGGTAGAGAGATGGGATGGAGAGGAAAAGATGTGTCAGTTAGTGAACCCCTGGAGAAACATCAAATGGCTATTTTAACCTAAACCATCTTACCTGTGCATGGACCAGCAATGGGATTTGAGAGCTTATCGAAGAGGCAGGAGGTTTTGTAGATAGAGTGAAGCATCAGTGTGTGGCTGCCCCATCCCTGGCAGTGTTCAAGGGCAGGTTGGACACAGGGGCTTGGAGCAACCTGCTCTAGTGGAAGGTGTCCCTGCCCGTGGCAGGGGTTGGAACTGGAGGAGCTTTAGGGGCCATGCCAACACAAACCACTCTGGGATTCTGTGATTCTATCACATGAGGCTGTCAAAAGAATCAGTGTGAGCTCTTGGCAGCCTCAGTTGGACGTGGAGGACATGGGCTATGATCCAACCAGGGCATTCAGCACTGGTGTCCATTCCCACTGTGTGGCCTTGAACTCCCCATTCATCCCTGTGCCTGGTTCCCCCCGTGTGCCACATCTACCTGCTGCCTTCAGTCAGGCAGGACCTGCCTGTGTGCTTTTGGACAACACCCAGCACAACAAGCTGGGATGGGGCCTCTTGGGATGAGGGTAACCCCAGTCAGCACTAACACACTACTGCAAAGAGAAATGCTTCTTGAGGGCTCTGGCACCCTCAGAGATAAGCTAAGATTAAACCCAAATATTAGTAATTGGTATTTAATAGCTCCAAGGGAGCATCTAATAGCTCTGAGGGAGATGATCTGTGTTCTGAACACACACCCAGCTGATTCTTCTAACAATGTTCATTAAAGAAACTCAAGTGAATGTACCTTCTCCTCCATTGAAAAGAATGTGACTCGAATCAGTTATATCACATCCCTTCTAAGAATGAAATTATCTGTGAGAGTTTTAACCTTACAGTAACCTTAGTTTTAGTATCTCATTGCCTTGGGCAACCTTGCAAATCAGGAACCCGCTGCTTCCTTCAAGCACAAGCAGCCCTTTAGTGATTTTTCGGCTGAAGCTGTTAGTTTAGCCAAAATGAAATTGGCCTTTTGGGGGCACGTTGGTCCAGCCACTGAAATACAGCATTAAGGAGCTTCGTTTGCCTGCCTGCAAAGCACAGGGCTGCAGCCTGGGTCTGAAATGAGCAATGTGGGATCTGAGGTCCAAATCCCACAGGCAGCCAAGCCTGCAGAGAACACAGTTTGAAGGTTACAATGCCAATGCTCCACCGAAGTAGGTTTGAACCTAAGGAGAGCTGCAGCAAGCCAGACAGCACCCCTTCTACTCCAATATTTTGTCTGAAAGCCACCAAAAGCAATTCCTGCCCCTCAACAGGGAACAGAGGAACAGCACAAGCACAAACCAATGTTCCTCTGATAGCACTTTCTTGGCTTTCTGAGCCTCAGAGGCTTCCAGTGCAGTGCTGCCAGTGAGGAATTGTTCAAACAGGCTTTTAACTGGTCTGACTTCTGGCACCCACATCCTGTGTGAGTAAGATTGCTGGTTTAACTCCAGGCTGTGCAACAGAACTCCTCTTTCTGGTTCATTCTAAACCTCTTGCCTGGTAAATGAACTTGGCCCTCAGCACTGGTATTATGAAAAATGGCAAAACAACTCCTTGTTCCCTTTCTTGGAATGAGTCAGGATTTGCCTTCTGTTCTAGCTTCTCCACCCATCTCCTTCCTCACCTGAAGACTTCTCCATTCCAATCCGACCAGCACAGTGCATTCACCTTCAGCAAGTCTTGGTGGTGAGAGCTTCCCTCTACCTTTACATCCATCTTAAAGCAAACTTCTTGCTTTAAGAACTCACTTCTCACAAGCCTCTGTCTATTGAGATCCTGCCTATACCAGATGCCAGATTCTCTTGTGGACCTTGTGGTCATGCAACCTCCTCTTCCACAGTGCTGCCTCAGGCTGGGCAAATCACAGATGGGGGCAAACCACTCCTCAGGACAGACCCACCTCCTCTTCCAAGCCTAAGGCTGTTACTGAGGTCTCATCCTAAATCTTCATCCTTTTCTACCATGTTTTGTGGCAATTAGCAATTATCCTCTCACTAAACTTGCTGTCTTTCAATTCACTTGCTCCTTGTTCTGCAGCATGAAGAGCTATGTATGTGTATATAGGTATCTTTTATAGGATTTTCTCCTGTTTGTGACCCAGACACACTTAACTCAAGCTAATTCTCCAGCTTCAACATCTCAGGAAGAAAATACATCATTCTGCACATCCAAGTCTCCATCCTTTCTACACCCTTGCTTCACAGCACAAGTTGGTCACTGAGTTACTTTTCCCCATGGCTGTGCTTTGTTTTACTCTTCCCATGAAAACATAACTCAAAAGACAGACAGTGGGGATGAAGGGGCAGATTAAATGAGAAACTGGAATGGGATTAGGACTAAGATTCCGTGTAAAGAAGGAAAGTGGGAACTGGCTGGATGCACTGTGATAGGATAGTAAATGGGCTGGCTGAGGATCAAGAATCAGCAGGGACAGGCAAAGGGAGATGAGAGGAACAGGTCAGAGGAGCAGCCAGGATCAGACGGGGACAGTGAGCCCAGGACCCCACTCCTAAAGTCATTACTCATCAAAACAAACTCAAGGATCATGAAGGACTCGGACTATGAAGTGTCTCAGGATGTCATACAAGTGTCCATCTCCCTTGAGTGTGTGTCTCCACTACGGTGAACACAGACCTTTCAACTGAGGCAGTGTGATCACGGAACCACAGCCTGGTTTGTGCTGAAGGGACCTTAAAGCTCCTCCAGCTCCAGCCTCCTGCCACTAGAGCAGGTTGCTCCAAGCCCCTGTGTCCAACCTGGCCTTGAACACTGAGCTTCTCTGGGCGCCCTGTGCCAGGGTCCTCTGTGGTCTTGGACAAGTAATTTAAAACCAGGCTTTCTGGAGCTAGTCACTAAGCGCCTTCCTGGTGTCCTACGTATGACCAGGGAGCTGTTGCAACAAGGAACGTGCACAGGAAACATCCCTCCTCTCAGAGAGAACCATCACCTGAAAGCTCAAGAAGCAGCAACTCAATCCTCAGGACAGTGTGCAGAACTCAGCCACCGGGGCAAGACCACCACAGTGAGCCACGTGAAGGAAGGTGAAACCAGCAGCCTCCAGAGCAGATGCTCCACACTGCTGGAGTCTGCACAGGGCTTGTTGTCACCCAGCAGGGGAATCACCTTGAGGTGGGTCTGTCAGCCCCATTCAGCAGCAGATGTTATCAATGGGGTCAACCAGATGCAAATCCTCTCTGCCAAATGCTGCTGAGAGCTTCAGCTGAGCATGAAATGAATGCCTCGGGGTGCCAGCACCCCATCCTTCATCCCCAGCTTCCATCCCACTGCCCAGCTTCTACACACAAGGAGAAGCTTAGACTGCGAGCCCACGACCCCAGCTTGATGGTGATGGAAAGAGCACGGAAATACCGTTCCTGGCACCCAGGCCACCTTCATGACTAAACATCACCCCAATTCTCTTCCAAACATCACTGTTCTGCTGTCGGAGAGTCACCAAATCCATCCACTTTCATTCAGGGCGGGGAACAAAGAGTAATCACAGAGAAAAATGCACAGGCCAGTAGTTTTTATTTGTGCCAGAAGCATTTTGAGGATCTATGTACAAAGGGAGAGCCTCAGCAGAGCAGAACTGCCTAACACAGCAAGAGCTGAGCACACAGAGCACCTGCCAAACGCTTAACCAACACCCCGAGACCATTCAAACCAGTAACTGAGAGCAAGATGCACTGGGGAGGCTGTGCCAGGCACCCCAGCAGCCTAAGCAGCCCTGCCCAGCAGTGCTGGGTCGAACACTTTGTAATGGAGGTAGCTCAGTTTCTCCAGCCGCGTGCGTTTGAGCAGGGGAAACCATTCCCAGAAGGGAAGTTCAACCACCACGTACCCCAACTGCTGCAGCTGCCGCCGTTTCAGGCGGTGCAGCCCCAAGAGGCGTTTGGAGCAGTAGCAGTAGTGGTTTCTGTTGGACACCTGAATGGCCAGTTTCAGCCCTCGAGGATGCCTGTTTGGCCTAAGAGATGGGGAGGCTTCAAGGCAGGCATCTGCAAGAGAAGCACCTGAAAGCACAGCACGATCCCTCCCTGAGCCTGGTGTCCAGCCTTGCTCCCCTCGCTCCTGCCTGTGAGCCCTGGCTTCGTTATCCACTTCCATGGGAGCCTGGATGTCAGATCTCCCTTTTATAAGCTGAGACATTAAGTCATCTGTTAAACTAACTCCAATGTCTCTTAGTTTCTTATCTCCAACAGCATCTTTAAAGTTGAAAGGGATGGGATGTCCATCCATAGCCAAATGGACCTCCAGATCACTGGATCTCGTGTGAGGCAGGATCATGTGGTTCTTCACATACTCGCGGCCACCCAACATGCTCTCGAGAAGAGATGTGGCTTCCACAATTTCAGGCCTGACGTAGATTTCTTGCTCTGCAAAAGTCAAAACCATCTCAGTAATCTCTTGGGAAAGCTGAGCTGGAAGGCGGCTGCCTTGATAGTTTGGGCACTCAATTTCAACACTCTTACTAAGGGTGAACAGGTCCTTTTGGAGCTCGTATTTACTACTTCTCGTTCTCTGGATAAACTCATCCCTCAAAGCATAGTCTATCAGCTCCTCTGGGAAGCGTTTGACAAATGCCAGGCCAAGTAAACCAGTAAGGAGATGCTCTGGAAACTTTGCAAATTCATGGAGTTTTCTATGCATCTGCTCTATCAGGCTGGAGTAAAACTCTTCCTCATTCAGAGGTTCATAGTCCAGGCACCCAAAGGACCACAAGAACTTGGCAGCGTCTTTGCTTCGGCAGTAAGCCACCTTAGAAGGCAACAACATGGCCACAGCAGCCATAATGCCTTCATCAAAGTAGTGTAGGGATGAACAGGTAAGAGTGATGTGCATGATGCCCTGGATGTTTATTGCAGGAATCCGAGCGGGAATAACCTTCCCAAGTTCCTTCAAGAGGGGTAAGTGGTCCATGCGAGTGTAGCGCAGTACCTTAAGCACGTTCACCAAAGCATAAGTGCTCATGTCTTCCATCTGCAGGGAGACTCTGTCTGCAATTCTTCTCATGACGTGGTCAGAGATACCACTGAGGGACTTGAAGAGCCCCAAGCAGATAGCACCCACCTCCTCCAAGGTGAAGGAATCCAAGTGCTTCAGAATCATGCTCTCCACCTTCTGCATCAAGTCTGCAGGTGACCTCCGGCCTTCCCCTATGATATAAAGGAGCTGAACAAAGTGGGGCAAAGTGAGGTCTTTCCAGTGCATGTTGGCATAGCTGAACAAAATGCTGAGGTAGGAAGGCACACTACGCTCCAGGCAGCGCCAGCAGTCAGCCACCAGCAGTACCTGGTCCAGGTTCATGTCCCACACCCGCCGGCAGAACTCATCCTCACATGCATTCAACAGAGGGTGGGTTGGTGGGACAACCAGACGGACGCAAGCCTTCAGAACATGGATGAGATCTGAAGTGCTGAACAATCCCATGCTTTTGACAGCACACTGACACAGTTGGTTAAACCTGGGGTTGGACACCAACGCTGCGTGTTGTTCCACTGGCAAACGACTCAGCTTGACAAAGTGATCTGTGATAGTTGCCGGGCTCTGGCTGCCCTTGGAGGTGGCCACGCTGCGTAAAATGGAGTCACCTTCTTCTAAAGGAAGGGTCTCTACTGGCTCAGACTTGTCATAGCTGAGAGATCTGTATTCAGGCCTCCCCTTCTGAAACACACGTGGGTCCTCCTTGGAGTCGTGCAGCTCCGATTTCTCCTCTTCTGCTTCCTCCTTGGTGTGTGCTGCAGAGAGACCCGCTGAGATGTTCTGCTTGAGGACTGGTTTGGACCTGGGCTTTGGCAGGGCCTTTCTGACGGGTGGCCAAGCTTGAGAAGGGGTGGAACCAACTGTGTGCTGAACCTGTGTGGTGCCAGGGCTGGTGAAGGTGTCACCGCAGCTCGCAGCAGCATGCTGCTGGGAGGCAGCTCTGCTTCGGGCATAAGCAGATGGATTATACAGCACTCTGTAGTCCAGTGGATTCAGCAACTGGATTGTGGCTGTAGATTCACTTCTGGTGGTGGGTCTTTCTGGGGTCTCTTCCTTTTCCTCCTCACTTTTGCTGCTTCCACTCTTGGCCTTGCACTTGGCTGTAGTTGAGAATGTGGTCACCCTGCTGAGCCTTGGAAATCTTCGGCATATTAGCACTGTAGCCATGGATCACAATTTACTGGGCTCAGAATTGCTTCCAGGTACTGAAAAAAGGGCAGATGAAGAATGAGTGGCTTCCACCTAACACGAAGCACCTTTAATCTATCCTTTATGCTACCAAAAAGGGAGCTGACGCCAGTGTTTCCCTGAGCCATGGCAGATGTTGCCCTGCAAAGCTTTAAGGTAGCTGCTATCAAACATCACGTCATGCAAAGGCAGTTCAAGACAAGCACCCAAGTGAGCTCCTACACCCAAAGGTGGGGTACACAGCAGCTGCTGCTCAGCAACTACAAGTAACCTGGCAGAGACTATAGGAGATGAGAAAAAAACCCACCTCATTCTCATTTTTAAGAGACCCAAACTGCTTTTCTTTCATTCTAAACAATGAAAACATAGTTGTGCAATAGAGCTGAAGCTTCAGCTGACTGATGAGAAGCTCCCCAGGACCCGGCTTCAGTGTGTGCTTGAGCCCAGAACCCCCCCATGTGCTGGGTGCACCCCCAGAGTGTGAGCAGCAGCTCAGGGAGGGGATCCTGCCCCTCTGCTGTGCTCTGGGGAGACCCCCCCTGCAGCCCTGATCCAGCTCTGGGGAACAGCACAAGAGGGACGTGGAGCTGCTGGAGCGAGGCCAGAGGAGGCCCCGGAGCTGCTGCGAGGGCTGGAGCAGCTCTGCTCTGGAGCCAGGCTGAGAGAGCTGGGCTGGGGCAGCTGGAGAAGAGAAGGCTCCTCAAGGGGACACCTTAGAGCAGCTCCAGTGCCTAAAGGGGCTCCAGGAGACCTGGAGAGGGGCTTTGGACAAGGGATGGAGGGACAGGCCAAGGGGAATGGCTTGAACCTGCCAGAGGGGAGACTGAGATGAGCTCTTGGGCAGAAGCTCTTCCCTGTGAGGGTGCTGAGACGCTGGCACAGGGTGCCCAGAGAAGCTGTGGCTGCCCCATCCCTGGCAGGGTTCAAGGCCAGGTTGGACACAGGGGCTTGGAGCAACCTGCTCTAGTGGAAGGGGTCCCTGCCTGTGGCAGGGGGTTGGAACTGGATGAGCTTTAAGGTCCTTTCCCACCCCAACCATTATATGACTCTATGAGATGCTACATGGCAAGTTGAGAACCAGAGGGTTCCAGCTCTAGACTCAGCTTTGGGAGCATTTCCCATAGTTTTAGAGTATAAAGGCTTAAAAAATGCCAGGCACCTTCCTAACTGCTGCCTAAACCAGCTACAGCGGAGGACGAGGATGAGAAACATGTCAGGAGTGCAGCTGTGTGCTGCCAGCCTGCAGGAACTGCCAAATGAGCCTGTTTACGATGATTCAGATGCTGACTAAAACAAAAGCACCAGGTCAGTGCTCTGTTCAGAGCCCACCCTGATCCCACCACATGTGGTCAACCCCAAAATTGCATTTACACCAGGCGTTTGCAACTGCTTTAAGATCACTCGTGCTTTAAGTACCACAGGGAGCTGAGCAACAGGGAAAGCCAAAGCCTGGCAAAGATGCTACAATACACATTAGCTTCCGTGCTCCCCACATGGGGGAAATAAATCCTTCATGGGCATCCCTCTGAGCTCTGCTGACACATGCAGCTTTCGATTAGGGCTGGATCAAGACCACAAATCAGTGCAGGGAAACTCAGTTTTGCAGCAGCAAAATGGATGCCTGGGGGGAAGAAGAAGATTGGGGACGGATGCTGTGGCTCTGGGGTATGAGTAGGAAAGGGCTGTGGTGGGATCCCCTGTGCTCTGGCTGAATATAAACTGGTTTTACTGAGTACAAGAATGTCCCCATCTCCTGTGATCCATTATCTGGTCTGTTCCTTCATCATAACAGCAAAACATCAGCTGCTTTCAAGGAAGAGTGAGATGGGGAAGGGAGGGAGGATGGGGAGAGTCAAGGTGATGGTCTTTGCTTCCTCTTAGTGCCAGACGTGGGGCGCTGCCTGCTATGGGGACGGTTCCATGGCTGTCTCATGGGCCCTGAACTGTCCCACAGCAGCAAAAGCAGTAACAACGAGGCAGGCAGGCAGACATGTCTGATGTGGCCAGGCACAAGCAGCCTGCTGCTCTCTGCAGGCTGTTTCCTCACCAGGCAGCTTTACCTCAGTCTTTTGGTGCTCAGCTCCTGTCTGAGGACAGGATGTCAGCACCCAGTTGGCATGGGAGCGCTCCCCATCTGCTCCAGTGTAAAGTCAAGTGGCTTCAATCCCTCTGGGATCAACTGTGTCGACTCACACTGTGGCAGACGAGGAGATCTCACACCCTCTGCTCCACGGGCAGAGCTTGGGGCAGCAACAGGCAGCTGGGTGGTGAGGAGAAGCTGCTGGAGCTGTAAACCTCTCAGGAGGGGTTTGAAACAAACAACCTGGGTGGAGAACAGGAGGCTCTGGGGGGAAGAAGAGGGAAGGAAAGATGAAATGAAGACTTCTGGAGACAACCATGTGAGGAGCACACAAGAAAGAGGTCAATGTGTTTTTAAGATGACTAGTAAATGGCTGATAGATACTGAGATGCTCAAGAGCTGCTAAGCTCACTGGGCACCTTATTTGTGTCTCAAAGCACACCAAGAGGCAGCCACCCAGTGCATAGAAGGCTATTCCACAGACACCAGGCACTGCTGACCCCCACAGCCAAGCCAGGCAGCTGCAAGGCTGTGACTGTCCCCTTCCAGTGTGAGAAGTCAAATCATGACAGGCAGGAGAGACTCTTCCTCTCCTGTGAGACAGGGGAAGAACCTGGACAGTAAAAACAGACAAGAGCTGTGATGCTGTGGTGCAGCCCAAGCCTTGCAAAGCCAGCAGCAAGCAGGAGATGGGTTTCAAAGCTCTCCTCTTTAGTACAAAGAAATATTAAAGGAAAATAGGATTTCTGGCTCTGCTGGCTGTGATGTCCAGCCTGAACTGGCCACAAGTGACAGATCTGTCTTTGTGTAGCTGGAGACAAGGCAGCACGAAGTGGGCAAGGCTCAGATCTGCAGATTCTGAGGAAGGAGACCCTGTCCCCTACAACATCATCACCTGGCACCTCCTTGAGGACATTCTGAAGGGCTGCTTCAAACTGCAAAAATGATCTTGGACAAGAGGAAGTTTATCTGCCCAAGGTTTTCCAAAAGACTTTCCTCTCTGTTTTCCATGTCTCCTGCCTATTTTTCGATTAGAGACAGGCAAGCAGTACTGAGACAGGCCATTTAGTGAAACCGACTCCTATTTGCTGCTGAAGCTGAACCTATCTATGAAATCCAGCACTCTGCTGCCATCAGAAACACTCCCCTTGGTGACAACAGCCCCACTCCAAAGACAGAGAATCAAAGTCAAGGCGTTGACACACTGAAGGCGAATGCTCTGCGCCTCTAATACCAACCACATCATTCTGTGTTCAGCTGTGACATGTTTGGGAAGGTATTGCCAAAATAAAGAGAATTATTCCTCTCCTTCCTTACTCAAAATCCAGCAAAATAAAGAGTACAGGGGAGTGAGGTTGGCACGGGTCAAGATACTTCCAGCACCTTTGAAAGTAACAGGTCCAAGTGGCCTTTTTGCCCATGACTTTCACCCACCCACAGCCTCAATCTCTGTGATCTATGAAGTTTTTACAGCATTCCTCTTCCAACTCAACCTACGCCTCTCCTCGATTTCCCTCTCTTCCTGTCATCCTGAGTAATCAGCCTTCCTTCCTCCTTCTTGTTCAACCACAGCCAATCTCCTTCCCACCTCTGGGCAAGTCTCTGCAGAGATTTCACTTCCAGTGACTCCAAAAAGCCAGTCAGAGGTTTGGAGCTGGGCCCTGAAGCTGGGAACGCACTTTGTGGAGTTCCTCTGGGATGGAAACATCTTTGTGTCCGTGTCTGTGTCACATTTACAGCTGAGCTCTAGGCCAAGAACACAGTTAGAACTGAGCTAACAGTTCAGTGTTAGCTGGACACGAGGCGTGGTCCAGAGAAGCTGTGGCTGCCCCAGCCCTGGCAGTGTTCAAGGCCAGGTTGGACACAGGGGCTTGGAGCAACCTGCTCTAGTGGAAGGTGTCCCTGCCCGGGGGAGGGGGTTGGAGCTGGAGGAGCTTTAAGGTCCCTTCTGACACAAACCACCCTGGGATTCCATGACAACGACATTCCTGGAGGGATGCTGCTCACCATGGGGTATCAGCTCTGTGAAACGGGGACACTGTGCTTTTGGTCCCTCTGACACCCTCACCCACACTAGGAGCACACCCGGCCCTGCTTCCCCCTCCCCAGCACCACTGATGGTACCCGAGCACCCAACACCTCCCGGGAACACTGAGGAGAGCTCCAGATCCCAGCAGTGAGGGACATGTTGGGAGCAAACCAGCTCTTTCTGGCCAAGAGCCTCCAGGTAACACCCGCCCCGGGCTGCAGAGGAAAAGAGGAGAGAAGCAGTTTCCCCCCAACAGATTCCAACGGCAGAGTGAACAAATGTCACTCTTTTGTCTGCTGCTTTATCCCTGTTTTCAGCCCCAGCTGGGCCTGGAAGGCT